TTAAAAAAAGAGAGACTTAAAAAAAAGATTTATTACATTTATCTATAAAAACCAATAACCTTTATCTTTGTTTTTGCTCAGCAGCAAACTTAGTTTCTGTCTTTCTCTGTGGAAGAAGATAGTCCATTAAGATGGTCAGAAAGAGTGACAGGTTTCAGGTTGGTTACTTCAAGCATAACTCCACATTAACACAATGGTGATGAATTTTTTAAAATGGACCCCAAAATAATTTTAAAAACTTGAGTTAAAAACTTTAATAATGTTTCATATTAATATCTCTCAAAGACATTAGGATTTGGGACTAGAAAAGGCACTTATGGTTGGTTAGCCAGCTATATATTCCACACTGGTACATAATCTGCTGTAACTATTTTATCATTAAAGCTCAGGTTCTTGGATGGTTGACAGCTAGGAATCTAGTAACTTGCTGCAGCGGGATCCTGGACAGTGCACTTAAATGACCTTTTCCCCATTGTTGGGCTGGGTATCTGGAAACATCAATTTCGGTAGAACAGTTGTTCAAAACAGCTGTCTTGAGAAGTAAAAAAAAGAGACTTTTTACTAATGAAGCAAATGTTAACTTTTTTAAAAATTTTAATTTTCTATTTTGTATTTTATCTCCCTTCTAGTCTTTTTTTTTTTTTTTTTTTTTTTTTTTTTTTTTTTTGTGCAAATGTTAGTGTTAATACCCCACTTGTAGCTCAGATGTTATCCAGCAACTTCTGCTTCAGTGGTCAAAACACTATCACGATGATCAAACCATTGCAGTTATTATTAAGGTAACTATCAAACGAGCTATGCCTGTACTCTTTTTATTAATTCAAGCAAACATTTATTGCATATGTACTCTTTCTGGCATTAAGTGTTGAGTTTCATACAAAATGGTCAGTAGACAATTACAAAGCCACTGTGCATCAAATCTGGGAATAATCTGTAAGGTGTTAGTCACTGCACTGAAATAACACAACTAAAGAACATCAGTGAAAACAGGCTGGTCCTTCTAACACAAAGTTATCATAATAAATGCTAGTGATAAGATGAGTAAAGAATTATACACTGACAGCTTAGACAGAATTCCAGAACGAAGGTATCTCCTAAAACCTAAGTGAATTCAGGACAAATATTCAAAAAGTACTTGCAAACAAAGCTGGAAGAGTGGGGCCTGTCAGCTACAGGAGGTCCTGCAAGCTTAAAAGTGTAAAGAGCTGGGAAAAACTTAGGTAGACAAAGAAAGACAAATACCTCATGATTTCACTTATATTTAGAATCTAAAAACAAATGAACAAACATCTCTTAAATACAAAGAACAAACTGGTGGCCACCAGAGGGGAGGTGGTAGGGGGATGGGTGAAATAGATAGAGGGGATTAAGAGGTACAAACTTCCAGTCATAAAATAATGAAGTCAGGAGATTAAAAGTACAGCTCTCTGCCTGTTCTCTTAAACAATGTGTTTATGAACAACTTCTAACCAATTCTAAAACTACACTTTTTTTGCATTTCTGTAAATAGAATGTGTGGTCCTTAAACGTGTAAAGGCACTTATCTTCAACTGCAGTGGTACTCTCCAAACCAGTGGTTCTTAAAGTGTGATCTGGGGACCCTTGCGGGTTTTGAAGATACTTTCAAGGGCGTCCACAAAATCAAAACTATTTTCATAATACTAAAAGGTTACTGTATTTTTCCACACTCATTCTTTCCCAAGTACAGAAGAATTTTCCAGAGCTTATATGATTATTCACAAAGAACAGGTCTACTCTTGTTTTTTTTTTTTTTTAAAATGAACAGATATTTTAACAATTTCTCAGTTTTAACTTCTAATATGGTAAATATCAAGAGATATAACTCATATAGACACAAGCTTTTAGGGTCCTCCATAAACTTAAAAAAACGTTTGTTTATTTACTTAGAGAGTCCACAAGTGAGGGGAGGGGTAGAGAGAGAAGAGAGAGGGAATCCCAGGTAGGCTCCACACTGACAGCGTGTGGGCTCGATCCCACAAACTCTGAGATCACGACCTGAGATGAAATCAAGAGTCAGATGCTTAACCAACTGAGCCACCCAGGCGCCCTAAATCCTCAGTGGTTTTTTTAAGTGTGTAAAAGGGTGCTGACAACCAGAAAGTTTGAGAACCACTGCTCTAAACAGACTAGTGCAAGAATGCCTGAAGTGCCCAATAAATGATTTATACCTCTTCAGACATATCCTCAAGAGTATTATTTCAGATCATCTCCATACTTCGAATCAGCCAGCAAATTTAGTAGCCAGGCTACAGTGTACATGACCATTCACTACCTCACTACTGAAGATTGAGGGTCATTTAAAACCCATCACTTGTGATTTATTTATTTTTTATTATTTATTATTATTTTTAATGTTTATTTATTTTTGAGAGAGAGAGACAGGGTGAGGGTGAGCCGAGGAGGGGCAGAGAGAGAGGGAGACACAGAATCCAAAGCAGAGCTTTGGACAGCTCTAAGCTGTCAGCACAGAGCCCAACGTGGGGCTCGAACTCATGAACCATGAGATCATGACCTAAGCCAAAGCTGGATGCTTAACTGACTGAGCCACTCAGGGCCCCCTCCCTCATCACTTATGATTTAAAACCCATTTAACTGTGATTAAGAAACTATTTCATAGGATTTGAGTAATACTTTAAAATATAGAAAGATATATCTTTAATATACAAGGATTTATCTTAGTGTATACTACAAAAAGTTTCAATCACTTTACTATTTTTGGGGGGGTAAAGTTGTTTTACTTCAACCGCAACCAAAGAAAAATATATAAAACAAAAATATGACTGCAATTTGTATGTTCTTTTAAATAAAATAGAAAGCATGATGTGACATGTTTTCTAAAATTATGCCAGGAAAACAATATGATTCTGTTTCTGTGACAAAGTGCAATGTTTTGGATGTAAGAAGCACAAATTATAAAGGTTTGTCAAGCAGGTCTACAGAAATATAAGGAAAGTCAATCCAAGTTTGCTTTCCTTTCTTGTAAATGTGTTTTAAGTCATATGGTAAGACACAGAATTCATTTGTAAACAGCAATTAAGATAACATATTACTTTTTGAGGGAAGATTAGTATGCTAATTTTAGAAGGCAAATACTGCTTAGTAAATATCCAGTCTCTTACAGATTAAAGCACTCAACTGAATGGTATGTTCTAACCATTTAGAGTGCTAAAAGAAAAGGTCTTGAAAGAAAAGACAACGTTAAGGAGCTGAAACACTAATATCATAGTACCTGTATCAATGGAAAACTGTGTCTTTAAGTTCTAGTGTAAACAATAAGATGAGACACAATCTGTAAAGGATATACAATTGCTTTTGTTAGGAATGCATTATTTGGGCAGAGAGCTCCCTAAAGATTTAGGCATGCTTTGAAAAATCATTGGATTTACTTTGGTTTTACTGAATGTTTAGGCTGAAGCTCAGTGCAATAGAAAAGATTTCTGTTGTTTTCTAGATACAAGTGATACCGGTGTCTAAATATCAAGCTCACTAGAATACATCTGCCAAAGATCTTACTAAATATTTATATAGAGCGGAGATATACCATCAAGTATCAACAGAACCCAACAAAAGGGTTCTCAAAACTACACAGCTCAATACCCAGTGCTCATCACAAGTGCCCTCCTTAATCCCCATCACCTATGCCCCTCTGGTAACTATCAGTTTGTTGTCTATAGTTAAGAGTTTGTTTCTTGGTTTGCCTCTCTCTTTTTTTCCCCTATGATCATTTGTTTTGTTTCTCAAATGCCACATATGAGTGAAATCGTGTGTCCAACCTGTTTTATTATGGCTATGCATTCCGGTTTTGGCACAAATCATTTATTTAGTCTTTTGACTAGATTTATTCAGGCTTTGGATATAATCAATCTATCAGCACTAAAATAAAGCTGAATGCAATTCCTTTCTGGGCTAGAAATACACAACTGTATCTACTAAGCAAAACTAGCATGTGGTTAACTGAAGAAACGGTGAGCAGGATGAATAGGATTGGGAACTAAAACTGACTGAGGTCATCAACTCACTATAGTTGACCGAGGTATGGTAATTGCAGCAATACAATCAATTATTTTATGCTCCTACTGGGTCAGTCATTGAAAAACACTCAGCATAATGAATTCCAGAATGGAGAGCAGGCATGAATGAATCCTTTCCTGTGTGAGTTATGCATGTGGTGCCATATAGATTAGCACTGGACAAGGGGTGAGGAGGAGACCAAAGGAAAGATGAACATAATCTATAAGATAAAATTAAAAATGCACTTGGGGGAGTAGAGCTATGGATTACTAGGTACTAGAGGAAGCAGACCATCTATTTGTTAAGGCTACTGGAGACAGTTTGGTTCATTTTGAACAAATAAATAAGAGGCACAAGCAGTGATACAACAAACAGGTCTCTCAATTAGACTGTCTTTGAAATGATCAACAAAATGAGAGTCTTTGAAAAGATCAGGTTCCTGACTGCAGAAACATGCAGTATGTATAAAGAGTGTAAAGAAATAGGTGCCTGAGTGGGAAAAGGACTAAGTTGTTTAGATGTTGCCAGGACAGGACTAAAAGCACTGAGACTCCAAGTAAATAAAAGTACTGTCCGTCACTAGAAATGGCCACTAGAATCAAAATGAAATACATTCTCTACAAAACACGTAACTATTAGCACCAAGTTCACCTGGGTGACTAGGGCTGAAGTTAGTCAACACTCACTTCTGAAATCCAGGACCTTAAAGAGGTTGTTTCCCCCATCACCACTTTTACCCTTGTTTTCTTTCAGAATTTCCAGGAATCAATGCTTCCAACTGTTCAAAATTACAATGTATATGATGAGTATAATGTATTTGTGTTTATCTTTCTATTCTATGGCTTTAGGCTTATGGTTAAGGGAGACTTAAGTGAGCGTGGAAACTGGAAACAAAGAAACTTTTCGCCTATTGCCCATTTCCATTTTCGCCTGGGCATCCCCAGAAAAAGCCCTTTTGGGGTTCTAACCTCTCAGATCCTGTTGTGTGCGAGCACCGCCCATGCTCTGCCTCGGCATTCGAAGAGAAGTTCTCAATGGTGTATGTCTCTGTTCATCCAGGTAAGCAAGGTCCTCCAAGTGGGCAGAGCTTGTGGCTGACAAGACAGAAAAGTTTAGTCAGAATACGTAAGCTTAGAAAACTTTCAGTTAGTCTGTACCTCCCAAACTTGGGAATCAGAGATTACTCCAGCATATATATTTACCAGGAGTTTTGCTGAACTCAATGTCCTCACCAGTGTCTAGAACATGTGCCAGGGGAAAAAAATGTCAAGAGTCGTCTTCAGCTCCTTCATCACTATCAATTGCCTGAGCTTATGAAGAGGACTGGCAATAAGTTAGCAAACACATTAGTACTCGTAACAAAGATTATTAGTTTTTGCTTCTTTTGGGTCACAAATGCCATTTGTAGAACAAGGTATAAACGTCATCAGATTGAGCTGTAAGAAAAACATGAAGTTCTATTTTCAACATTTTCCCCTTCATGTTCAAGAATGAAACATGAAAACATTTTTCACCTGTATGTATATATTAGAAAGATGGGCACCTGGGACAACAGACTGAGAACTGCTAAAGAGCATTTAGGGAACTGTCAATGTCCATGAATTCTAAAAAGCACTTTGTTGCCCTCTGAACATAGGTAATAATGGTCTCCCATTGAATGAAGAAACCCTTTAACCCAGGCACAACACAGAGAGAGAAAATGGCACAAGAAAGGGGGATAAATGGGTATTGGCACTGCTGTATACTGAGAGCTGTTGGGTCCATTCACAATAAACCAAAAAATGAAGAAATTAAGAATCAGAAAGTGCTGGGCACAAAAATAGTTTTTAACAACAACAACACAACCCCCAAACTTCTGTCAGAAAATAATTATTTAGAGCTTATAAATTATTAATGAAACTGTTGATTCAATCTGTTGCCAATTATGTAAGATACTGTGTCGGGGGTTACTCAGTTATTCAATGACAATTATTTACCCAGAGTTTACTGTGTGCCAGGCCCTGTTTTTGATGCCCTCCCTGGCTTAGCTGCCAGTTTGCCTCTGGTGACTGTTTTGAGTGGGTGAGAAGAAACAAACTGAGATCATTCTTGGCTGGAGAGCTCTAATGAAGTATTGTCCACATCCCCAATTGAGATAAGGCACAAACAACAATACACAGTGGATTATGACTAAGTGGCACAAAGAAAGTCACAAAGTGCTCTCTGGGCTGAAAAAGGGAGTGAAAAGACAGATAAAACAGAAAAGAGAGGAAAACAGAAAAGAACAAGAGAGAACATGTGCCAGAGATCTATATTCCCCTCATCCTTCCACTAATGCAATTAGCTTAGTTACTTGGGTCTACTGGAAACCGAGATGACAGGAACTTAACTAGATCACAGATATACTTTCTATGAGGAAATAAAAGTCTCTGGAAGCTAGTCCAGGGAACTAAACCAAGAAAGGAAGTCAAATGCCATGTTACACATCAGTGGGAGAGTCTCAGAGGAATAAGAGATAATCTTGATTTCCGCATTCTGAAATTAAAACTATCCAGAATAGATAACTATTTAATCTTTTATTTAAAAACACTGGAGACAATGACTCTTATACCATTCCCACTGGGAGAGTAACAGAGGAATAAGAGATAATCTTGATCTCTGCGTTCTGAAATTAAAACTATCCAGGAAAGATAACTGCATGATTTTTCATTTAAAAACACTGGGGACGATGACTTACACCATTCCCACTGGTACTCTAATGTGGTTCTGTGAATTAGTTCTTTCTGAAGTTTAATAGTGTCTCTCCTGCTTTAATCAAAGTCTGTTTTGTTTGGTTCTTCATATGTGTAGCTATCCCCCACCACCCCCAAGGGGGGGAACCCTCAGAGGTCCCATTCCCATAGAGCTCTCCTTGGAGCTCAGAAATATTAGCATCAGCTGAGCAGGGCTCCTTTCACAGAGATTGGAGTTTCAGCTTTGTGGGGCCTTTCTTTCAAGTTTCTATAGTTTAACAATCCCACCCTCCTCTTGTTCCACAGGCTCAGAGGTGGTAGCTGCTTCCGGCAGTTGCCAAACCCATACTACCTCTGTGTTTTCTTTTTACCTTTCCAGTTCATTTAAACATAGTCTACCATTCTTTATATATTGAATTTTCTGTTAAAATAACTGTGGTTCCTGCCTCCTGGCTAGCCCCAACTGGTACAGAATAGAAAATAATGGAGAAGCAATCCTTTCAGATATGTATGTTGATAATAAAGCAGCATCACAGAATGAAGACGTGAGAGGAATCTTAAAGGTCATCTGGTCCGGAGGTCAGCAAACTAAGGCCTGTAGATGAATTCTGGCCTCCTGCCTATTTTTGTAAATAAAGTTTTATTGGAACACAGCCTTGCCTATTCATCAAGTATTCATTTACAACAGAGTTGAGTAGTTGCCAGAGAGGCCATTTTGGCCTGCAAAGTCTAAAATATTTACTAGATGGTCTTTATATACAAAGTGTTTTGACCCTAAATTAGTTAAATCCCCTCATTTTATATATTAGGAGACAGTAGAGTGACTTGTCTGCAGTGAATCACTCATTTATGGCAGAGTCTGGCCTCAAAACCAGCTATCTGGCCCGTCAATCCAGTGAGTGCTATTTGCATTGTACCATCTCTCCCTCTTTAAAGCTAAACAGATTTAATTCTCTCTTAAGAATCTTAGTTTTCATCCTTTCTTCATCTTTGTCACTTTCCCTCAACTCTGTTTTTTATGGCTTCAAAGATAAGTAATCAAACTTGGGCAATAATAAAGACCTTGTATGCAAAGTGAAGAGGCCTGTGATTGCAGGCTAATAAATCTCTAGGCTTCAAATATTTTCCACAGTAAGAAACAAAAGAACAAATAAAAGCCCCAAATTTGTAATTTTTTTTAGTAAGAAAAAATATGTAAAGTTACTTTCTAAAGCTGATAAACTGAAGAGTAATATGAAAGAAGTATCAGTGACAATGAGAATCTTTTACTCACATTAAAACACAATGCAAACAAAACCTTAACAGGTGGATGAGTGTTAAGTTTTGAATTACCGTTATGGCAATATTTGATGGCACATTATATAATTTTAAAGCAAGGTTCTCTTATTAAAATGGTTCTACGTGCCAACACACTAACATGGTTTGATACATTTTAATAAAAAGACGTTTATTTCATTAACAGTGGGCAGAACGATAGAGAAATATACAACATGGAGTGGAGCAAAAAGCTGTGTTAAGAAAAAAAAAATCCCAGGGTCTTTCTTTTTTCTATATTATGTTCATCTACGACTCTTTTAAAGGGAGCTCTATACTTTGAGTACAGATTTGAGCAACAGTTAGATAATCCATTCTCATTTGTCTTTAATGGAAAGATCTGGCAGGTACTTTTAGCCACAGCCTAGTTTTCACAGGGTCAGCTTTCTATTCAAAGAGCTGCTGGCAACATTTGTTAAATATAAATGGTTAATGTGAACTTAACAAGTTTTGCTAAACTAATCTTCACCATCACAATTCCTAGGAAAATGGACATCAATTGTTCTACTGCTTTATTTCACAAGATCAAGAAATGTCATAGATATGTTTTGGAATGAGCACATGTCTCACTTTCAGCCAGATGACATTAGGGGAAAAAGACAAATACTACAGTCACTGAATGAACAGTTCATTCCTTCACAAATCCAAATACTCATAGGCAAACAGTGAACTAAGGAAGAGCAGTGATCTTTGGTATTAAGGGCTATAGCTCTGAAGCCCTGATTCAGGGCACAGATTTGAATCAGCCGATGGGGAACTATTGTTTTAATCAGGATTGCAAATACATTTTATTTAGTGTTACTTACATCTATTAAAACATTTGTTCTTTTTCTTATGTTAGCAATTAAAATCTTTTTTGTTGATATCTGAATCTATAACAATTTTCTTTATCAAATATTCCAGTATTTTTTTTCACAGCCTTTCTTCTTTATTAAATCATAATTCTCCTTAGTCTTATTCTGTTTCTCACTGCTTAATCATTTTCAAAATTCTTGCCCATTATTTAAAGGAATATGAGATAAATATTGGAAAGCTGAGGCAGAAGACCTGAGATTCTGTTAGCTGGGGCTCTGTGTTCTGCTAGTTGTACACATTTACTCTCCCTCATAATCTCTTGAAACTTCTATTTGCAAGCCACTTTCTGAGAGAAAGTCTTCGTCTTAGTTTGTCAAACATCTCAATCTTTGTCACAAAATTTGCTAAGGCTATATTTTCTCTGCTTCCCTGACAGATCCTCTAGTCAAAATTAATTGCTTCTCCCCTTTAGCAACCACATACGTATATTGCTAATTAGGACCTATGTTATTCAGCAACTTGCTTACATGGCTGTCTTCCCTTATTATAGTAGGTTCTTGAGGGTGAGAAAGTAATGTCTGATTCATCTTTGATAACCCTATCCCCTCAGAGCAAATCAGAGTACCGTGCACATAATGCTTAATATAGAACTGAATTCCAGACTGGTCCTACGTAGATTTAGATATATCTGGCTCTGTCCTCACCCTCTTCATTGCTCTGTTTAATGCTTAACAGACATCACTATGATAATATGCTCAGCTCCAATGATGTTCATATAACCAACCTTCCTCCCTCCCTCCCTCCCTCCCTCCTTTCCTTCCTTCCTTCCTTCTGATCCCTCTTCCCTCTTCTATTTTTTTCTAAAGTACATATCGCTTTCTACCATGCTATATAAATTACTTACTTACTAAGATTATTTTATTTGCCCTGGCTAGAATGTAAGGTCCATGAGGGGGGAATTTCTGTTTTGTTTACTGATGATTCTCAAGTGTTTCAAATAGTGCCTGGCACATACATGCTCAATAAATGCTTGCCTAATAACTGAATAATTGTATTTAATATACACTTTGTGTTTGACTACATTTAAATGATCAATGAATAAAAAATTAGGTTGTGTCTTATGGGGTTATTTGAAAGCTAAGGATGAAGCAGGTGGCTATAGCAACAATGCCTTGCACATCATCATCACATACAAATACCAATGACAGATCTATAGGGACACACATATCCCCACCTCATAGTGGTACTCTTACTGTGAAACTGTGCTGGCCAATTTTTCTGAGATAATTTCATCAAGTTAATACTATATTTAATGAACACTTTCCAGATACAAGCATAGGAGATAATTAGGTAAGTCGAAGTGAACTGAAGAAAGAGGAAAAACAAATCTACTTAAAAAATTTTATGTGAAAAGAAAATGTTTTTAAAAAGTAAACTTCTATGTAAAATCTATCTCTAAGTAAAATCTATGTCATTAAAGGTCCAAGAGGGAAGTGGAAAAAGGGAGCACATATATATACATATATATATATATATTTTTTTTTTTTGAGACTTCATAGGATTGGAACAGCTGACTCATTTATAGAACATTTAACTGACATACTTTTTTGAAGTCAAAATAACCTAAATAAGTGGGCAGAAAAAAAAAATCCAGCAGACATTTGGTACAAAACATTCCAGAGGCAACTCTATATTGAGTATAAAACCCGTTTGAATTGTTTCTTCTTAGATCAGGTGTTACTAGTGCAAACAGGTTTTAGTAGCACGATTATCATTCTGGCTGACCTGAGCAGGGATCTTGGATGACGTTGTCTGCTACAGCCTGGGCAAGAAGCCACTCTGCTGTCCTTATGCCCTTGATTCATAAAGCCAACACTCTGACTGCTGAAAAGCCCATTTTTTCCTCTTTATAAAATCTTCATTAAGCTTCTGATTGGATTCATCCAAATCCCCCATGATTCCGATTTTGCATTTACCTGATTCTTAAGATCCTTTTCTTAGGAAAATGTGCAGCTCCAAACATTAACAAGTAGATGGTGAGAGTTTATATTGTAACTGACTTCTGCTGCTTATAATTCCTTGAAGACTCCTCATTTTCACACAAAGCCCTGAGGACAGCTGCTGCAAGTGAACATTTCCTGCTTCCCACATCCCTCTAATTCACAGCCAGTCTCCTTTTAAGACATCCAGGATGACCAGAGACATCCTACTCTCTGATAATTTCTGCCATGCAACCGCAAATCCACAAGGTTCTCCACTTCCTTCCAACTACAAAGGGCTTAAAAAATAAACATGCAGTAGTGGTTCACATTTTGAAAACAATAAAAGACAGTAGTTTTTATTTTTCATATCTTAGAATTTTCATTTAAAGGTGTATGAACATCCAAATTTATATTCAGAAAACTAAGCTTAAGACTTAATGCTACAGATTGCCCATACTTACCTTAATCACTTTATCATTGGAGAGGGGAACTAGGTGGAAAGGGAAGGCTTTTCCTTTTTCTTTTGTATTTTTTGGCTTGAATTTGAATTTTTATTTGATTTGCATATTTATTATGTAACACACATGATTTTTTTTAATTTCTAGAATATGTCAGCAGGAACCACTGGGAAAGGAAATTATGGCTCATTTTTGTTTTGTTTTCTTCCTTGTTATTTCTCTATATTAAAAAAAATCTAATAAATGCTATTTTTTAAGGCAAAAAAGAAGAAACTCTCCTAAACCATTTTCTCAACTCTACTGATACCTGATGATTCACTCCCTATAATACTGCATAATACCCCACAAGCTTTTAAAGAACTATCTTCTCTAACTCCTGGCTCTCCTCCTTCAGTCCATCCTATACAGATGGCTATTCAGCCATTTTCTAAACAGCATATTTGATAGTATAGCTCCTGCTTATACTCCTGACTAGCAACAAAATAAACCTAGCATTTATCATCAGAGCATATAAGCTCCTTGGTATCACCTTCAACATCATTTTCTACTATTTCTTCACTGTATCCCACGGTTTGGTCATGCTGAAATAATGTGCCAACTTCTTTAACTTCTTAGTAACTCCTTCCTCTTTTTTCTGTGACTTCTTATTTGTCCTTCTCTGTGATGTCTTCTATTCCTCTCCACCCTTTCCCTTTGCACTCAGATGCTTCCCTCCTCTGTATGATACTTTATAAATTACTGTATTATTTATAAATATACCAAAATTACTGTAAATTTGACGCTGACTATTTTACCAACACAACAATGGTTGTCAATTAGAATTCCATCCTGTAATTCTCCATAAAATTCTTATCTTAATATTTGCTGAAGTCAGTGTCCCAAAGAATATGCAAAAACTTTCTTTAAGTCTAAGTGTAGCCACAAATATATTGATGCTTATAAGCGGTAAAGTTTGTAAATGGCAGTTAGCAAAAAATATATCACGAGAGGTAGTTTAGAAGCCATCCAAATTCATAAATTAGATGACAATTCCCTGAAAATTGAACATAACTTAAAAGATTTTATTAAGTAACTAGGATATCAGTTCTTACAAGATAAAATTCTAAATAAACAAGAATCTTACAATCCATGTAAATGAAAGAGTGTACTCTTTGCCTACTACTCTTGCTTGCTTTGTGAAGTTTAAAAAAAAAAAAAACATTTCAAATGGCAAACTTTTTTTTAACCTGGTGATTAAAATACCTGGTATAGAAAACTGGGTTCTATTCTCTGTGATAGAGCTTAACAGTTAATTTCTCCTACATGTATTAGAGAAATAATTGGTGACTCACTGATACTTCTGAAAGCTGCCTTGTGCTGATTTCTAGAAAGCAGTAGTGTTAGAAAACCTTAGAGGGAAGAATTATATCTGGCTAATTAGTCCTGGACAACTCTTTGTACACACTAGTATCTGCATAGGGTAAAATAATAAATCTACAGATATTTATGCTCAAGAAGGGCAAAGTGGGTGATGGGCATTGAGGAGGGCACCTGTTGGGATGAGCACTGGGTGTTGTATGGAAACCAATTTGACAATAAATTTCATATTAAAAAAATAAATAAAATTAAATACAATTTAAAATGTAAAAAAAAAAAAAGGGCAAAGTATTTTATAATTTCTCCAGTAAAGAGAGGACAAGAAAGCTTATATTTCTGTCTTCTACTAAATGCTCAATGCCCTTCTCAAATAACAGAGCCAGAACTTTCTTAGAAATCACTGTAGCTTAAATAAATTGGGATGTACCATTAAGGTTGGTAGCTATATTTCCCCAATTTTATGTAAGCAAGGGTTTATATGTTTCTCTCCTGGAAAGACTGAATTTGCCTGGCCCTTTCTAAGTTATAGCATTCTAAAGTATAATATGACATCATCCCTGGGGACCAACATATTCCAAAGAACCTAGGAGGGAAAAGTTTTTTGCTACTATGTAAAAATGAATAATCTTGAAAAATACATATTAAATTGTCTACACTTACTGATCTTCCAGATGAGCCATCACCACATAATCACATGTGATGACTGATGCTGATGGTCTCCCAGAGGACAGAACAAAGAGTAATGTTTTAGAAAAGTACAAAAAGGCAAGAAGCATCACACTATTATCTGCATAACATAAATCATTACACCTGGGAAATAAGAGCTCTTAACTATAATAGGTATTTTATTATTTTGTGTCCGTGAGATAAACCTTTTAGGCATTCATCGAGCAAGTAAGAAAGACAATCACGACTATGATTTCATATTAGGGACAAAGTGTAGATGATGCTGCATTTTGAAAATGCCCGACTGCCCAACTATCTGCAAAAGCTCCTGGTCTGACTTATTCTCTTTTTTTTTTTTTTTTTTACTTTATTTAAAAAACTTTTCTTTATTTATTTCTTTATCTATTTATTTATTTAGAGAGACAGAGAGAGAGAGAGAGAGAGAGAGAGAGAGAGAGAGAGAACTAGTGAGCGCATGCATGTGCGTGGCGCAGGAGCAGAGGGAGGAATCTTAAGCGGACTCTACGCATGCAGGGCTCACTCTCATGACTGAGATCATGACCTGAGCTAAGATCAAGAGTCAGACGCTTAACCGATTGAGGCACCCAGGCATCCCTTGACATTCCTTTATGACTTTCTGACTGAGCCTGCTAGTAGTGTCTGAGTTCTTCTTTAGCACTTGTAGGTACCTGGTGATTCTTCTACGATAGGATGGATATGGTGGAAATATTGAGCTCATGGACTGGGAAGCTAAATTCTTGCCTGCCTGCCTCTCCTTCAAACTATGGATGATGATTTCTAATAATATAAATTCTACTGAAATACTCTTCAATTTAATGTTTTTTTTTTAAACTAATGTTTTTAAAAACCACAGACTGAAATCTTTTCAAAGACTTCAGATATGAAAAAAATACTTTTAGAAATTCAACCATACACTTTACAGGTTTTACTTATGATTTTGTGAGTGTTTTTACACATTTTGGGAGCAGAATCACCACTTGACCATGAGCCTTCCCCCAGGTTCAAAAAGATATCCACATGCATATTAGCCACACAAAAGAACAGTCAAAGAAGATGAATAGAAAATTCTGTTAAAGCAGAATTTACTTTCATTTCAGTATACACGCCAGTAAAATGGTCAATTTTTAAAAACTCTTACCTGCTACTGAATTTGGCCGTGGCATAAGATACAGAGGAATAGACTGTACTGACTGCGATAGAACAGTTTCCAAATTCCTCTCAGGGATCTTATTCAGACTATAGGTGGAAGCCGTCATGTTTTCATCTACTCGATACAAACACGAATCCATACTGGATTTTTGAGACTGCCAAGGTTTCAGGTTTCCTCCAGATCCTAATTCTTTACTGCTTTCCCCAACATATTTTGTGCGTTCCACGTTTTCAGAATAGCTTGTCAATGTAGCTAAAAAAGAGAGTAAAACAAGTTAAAAAAAAACAAAACACCCATAAACCTAGAGATTAATTTGTTCATTATTATCCAAATTCGTGACTAGATAATAAGAGCAGTAGTAATATTTTTTTTAAAAGTTGCTGATGATCATTTCATCTCCACCATGAAGTTTAAATAATCAAAACCAAAATATAACGATCTCCTACATATTCTCTCTCACATCTCTCATACATTTAGTTTAACAACTCTCTCTGAATAGAACTAAACAAATTTGTATATCAATGCTAAAAGATCTAAAACTAGGACCTATGAATGTGAAAAATTTCAGAATTTCATCAAAAAGGGAATTTAAAGAATTTTCATGGATTGCTGGAAAGCCCCACAGTTCTCAAAAAGATCTTTATACTCTTTTTATCTCACATTTTCCTCTCCCTCATTTAAATTTATTTCCTTTCACATGTAATAATGAATTAGAAAAAAATAAGATGTCTTAAGTAGATGCTAACATAGGAGAAATAATCTGTCCAAATAAGGAAACAGTACAGGGCTTTCTTGTACAGCTACCCTCTGTAGCTCTAACCTTAGATGTCCCTTAATGAAATCAAACAAAAACAAAAATCTAGAATTTTATCTAGTCTTACCATTAATTATAAACAGGACTTAGAAACATTTTCATTAAGCCTTGAAATGCAATGGTTAACAACAATAAAATCTAGATTATAAAAATCTTAGCAATAATTGTAAGAATAAAACAGGTCATTCTAGGAGAATTTATTTTTATTTTTATTTATTTTTAAAAAGTGTTTATTTTTGAGAGAGAGAGAGTGAGCAGGGGAAGGGTAGAGAGAGAGTGAGACAGAATCCCAAGCAGGCTCCACGCTGTCAGCGCTATGGGGGCTCAATCTCACAAACTATAAGATCATGACTTGAGCCAAAATCAAGAGCTGAATGCTCAACCAACTGAGCCACCCAGGTGCCCCATCCCTGGAGAATTTTTAATGTTAGTTCATATTCTCTTCTTACATCTTCAATGTACCTATTATTAAAAGAAGAGACCTAAGTTTTTAAGGTAATTTCCCTGGTGCCTCTTTGTGAGGTTTTCTCTGTGGAAATTTAAATGGGAGTTCTGGATTTTGTAGTAACAAAGATAAAAGATGAGCTAACAAATGGTTGCCTTCCAGCCTTTTTGCTCTTTACAATAATACATCTGAGAATTAAGTGCTGCCAAGTGGTCTTGGTATCCTCACTGATACCAAGAGAGCCCAGTTCCATGGCAATATCTCCCTGTCAACTCCATCAGAGAGGGCAGTCATCGTTACGCTTCTGACAGATGACAATGCTCCCCATCCCTGCCTAGTCATGACAGGTCCTTTTTAATATATTGTCCCTGTTATCTTTTATATAAGGTTGGACTCAATTTGTTAGAATTTTGTTAAGGACTTTCATATCTTGTTCATGACACATGCTGGTCTGTAGTTTACTTTTTATGTAATGTCTTTGTCTGGTTTGGTGTGGAGGTAACATTGGCCTCATAAAGTGTTCCTTTCACTTCAACTTCTTGGAGCAGTTTGTGTAGAAATGGTATAATTTCTTCCTTAAGTATTTGATAGAATTTACCTGTCAGGGCATCTTTCCCTTGCAGGAAAGTGTTAAACAACAAATTCAATTTATATTTAACAGCTATGAAGTTATTCAAGTTATCTCTTTCTTCTCGAATGAGCTCTGGTCATTTGTTATTTCAAGGAATTTGTCCATGTCATGTAAACTGTCAGATTTATTGGCATAAAGTTGCTCATGACATTCCCTTATCCTTTTAATGTCTGTGGGTCTATAATGATAGACTCTCGCATTCCTGATTTTGGCAATTTGTATCTTCTTTTTCTCCTGGTTAATATGGCTAGGGGGTTATTAATGTGATTTTCTCAAAGAACCAGCTTTCAGTTTCATTAATTTTCTCTATTCCTATTTTATTGATTTCTGCTCTTTATTATTTCCTACTTTGCTTACTTTGATTTGAATTTCTTTTTTTTGGTGTTGCTGTTTCTTAAGAAGTTTAGTTCACTAATGGAATAAATTTCTCTTTTCTAAAATAAGCATCTAATGCTATAAATTTCCTTCTAGGCACTTGTTTAGCTGCATTCTAAAAATTTTGAGGTTTTGTTTTCACTATTTTTCAATTAAAAATATTTCTAAATTCCAATGTGATTTAAAAAAATTTTTTTTAAATGTTTTATTATTTATTTTTGAGAGAGACAGTCAGAGCATGAGTGGCGGAGGGGCAGAGAGAGAGGGAGACACAGAATCTGAAGCAGCTCCAGGCTCTGAGCTGTCAGCACAGAGACTGATGCAGGGCTCGAACCCACAAACTGCGAGATCATGACCTGAGCCAAAGTCGACTCTTAACTGACTGAGTCATCCAGGCGCCCCTCCAATGTGATTTTTTTTTGACCCAAGTATTATTTAGAAATATGTTGTTTAATTTCTAAGAATTTGTGAAATTTCCTGATATTTTTCTTTAAAAAATTTTTTTTTAATATTTATTTTTGAGAGAGTGAGAGAGAGTGAGCAGGGAAGGGTAGAGAGAGAGGGAGGCAGAATCTGAAGCAGGCTCCAGGCTATGCACAAAGAGCCTGATGCAGGGCTCGAACCCATGAATTGGGAGATCATGACCTGAGCTAATGTTGGATGCTTAACCGACTGTGCCACCCAGGTGCCCCTTTTTTCTCTCTCTCTCTCTTTTTAGTGTTTATACATTTATTTTGAGAGAGAGAGAGAGTACACACGAATGGGGGGAAGAGGCAGAGAGAGAGGAAAGACAGAGAGGAAAGAGAGAGTATCTGTGCTGATAGCATGGAGCCTGATGAGGGGCTCAATCACATGAACTGTGAGATCATGACCCAAGCTAAAACCAACAGTTGGAGACCCAACTGACTGAGCCACCCAGGCACTCCTCTTGATATTTTTCTATTACTGGTTTCCAGTGTAAACACATTGTGGTCAGAGAATACTGTAATGGTTTGTGTCCATTTAAATTTACTGAGACTTGTTTTATGGACAAGAATATTGGTGTCTTGGTGAATCTTCTGTGTATACCTAAAAAGAATTGGAACTATGCTATTGTTAAGCGGACTGTCGTATAAAAAAATAATTAAGTCAAGTTGGTTAATGGAACTGTTTAAAGTCATCTACATGCTAGTGGATTTCCTAATTGTTCTTTCAACCACTGAGAGATGAGTTAAAATCTCTACATTTGCGGATTTCTGCCACTTTGAAGCTTTGTTATTTGGTGCATAAACATTTAGGACTGTTACTTCTTCCTGACAAAACGATCCATTTATCATTATGAAATGACCTTCCTTGATAGGTAATCATTGTTTGTTCTGAAATCTATTTTGATATTCTTTGCTCTGAAATGGGTGAAGGAGGGAGATAAGGAGCATACATTATGGAATCCAGGACTGGCAGGAGCAGCAGGGACTTACTCTTCATTTACTAACCCTTTCTAAGTCTTTTTGGGAGACTGTACTGGTCATCTTCTTGAAGAATTGGATTTAGATCTCTCCTCTCAGAAAAGAATTCAGAGTTTCACAGTATCGTGTTCCCAGGTGAGAACAGATGCCAAAGAGAGTATTACTGGATCTATGTGGTGTAAGGGTTGAACTTTACGGATTTGCCACTCTAGATATACTTACCTGCCACTGTCTAGCTACACTGGCTCTAGTGATGGTGTGAACTATTCCCATGGGTTGGAGCTGGGTCCCTGTTATTAACATCCTGCTTCAGACTGAAGGGTTGGCTATAGTGGCTACTGCTAGTCATTTATGATAATCATGAGCACAAGTCAATCAATGTCTTGTGTAATGCTGTATAGACTCTCTCCTCTGTCCCTGGACTTCCTGGTTGTTGCTGAGACATGAGATGCAGTAGGGCTACTGGATTTGTGCAATAGTAAAGTAGGGGAAACAATGCCCTAGTAGGGCTAACACACCAATGTGAGACAGGAACTAGCAGTAATAGCGCCTTGTAATTCCCCCTTCCATAATTAGGAATTGTATGGTCTCTCTGAAGATTTCAGTTGAATAAAGCAATCACCTCTGCCAGCTCTGTAATTCCTTTTCTTATATTTGTTTCTTCTTTGCCTTACTCCCCTTTCATTCACTTGTTTCCTTGGTTTATACTCCCTTAATATAGCGTTAGCACGTAACCTTTTGTCTCAGGCTCTGAGGAATCTGTGCTAAGGAAGTCTCACTGATGAAAATGTTGGAAACTATGGGCCACATATTCTTGTAGCTAATCCAAAGGGGGCATCTGGGTGGCTTAATTGGTTAAGAATCCGACTCGTGATTTTGGCTCAGGTCATGATCTCACAGTTCCATGGGTTTGAGCCCCTGCATAGGGCTCTGTGCTAACAGCACAAAGCCTGCTTGGGATTCTCTCCCTTCTCTCTCTCTGCACCTTCTCCACACTCTCTCTCTCTCTCAAAAGAAATAAATAAACGTTTAAAAAAGCCAATGTTCAAGTCATATTAAGTTATTACATTATTTTGGTATCTAATCTAAACTACTCACTTTAATTAAAAATTAATTTCATATATTCAGACTTCCAGTCATAAACAGCCCAATAGTTCCTAACCATTTTGCCACCAAACATAATATTGCACCTTCCCCAATTATGGATTCCATGGCATTATTGTATAATTATAATTTCTAAATGTGTTCAGTGATAGCATACTTATAATATGTGTGTATGTACCTCTGTGTTCTTTTAAAGTGGATGTATGCTTCTTATCCTAATTTCTGAAAACTGTCTCATTAATTTAAAATATATTTAAACTATTATTTTCAGTAAAATTTGACTGAAATATAATTTCATTTGGTGTAAAGATATGGTGATTCAGCTACCTTTGTAATTCTTTGCAAGAAGCTTGGAGTTCACACAGCTGCTAGGGTCAGTATGCTGAAAGGCAGAGAATGGAAACTCTTGTTTCCCAGAGGATTTGTCTATATATAAAA